CCCACTGACCCACTCACCCACTGACCCACTGACCCACTCACCCACTGACCCACTCACCCACTGACCCACTGACCCACTCACCCACTGACCCACTCACCCACTCACCCACTGACCCACTCACCCACTCACCCACTGACCCACTGACCCACTCACCCACTGACCCACTCACCCACTCACCCACTGACCCACTCACCCACTGACCCACTGACCCACTCACCCACTGACCCACTGACCCACTCACCCACTGACCCACTCACCCACTGACCCACTGACCCACTCAGCCACTGGCCCACTCACCCACTCACCCACTCACCTACTCACCCACTCAGCCACTGGCCCACTCACCCATTGAGCCGCTCGCCCACTCACCCACTGACCCACTCACCCACAGGCCCACTCACCCACTGACCCACTCACCCACAGGCCCGCTCGCCCACTGACCCACTCACCCACAGGCCCGCTCGCCCACTGACCCACTGGCACAGCACCCGCGTTGTTGCGAATCGGACGGTGACAGCCTCCGTGTGTGCGAGCGTGAACTCGTGACCCCGTGACCTTACTGGACCTCTGTGAAAGAGAGCTTCATAGCTCATCGGATTCCTTTCCTCCTCCAGCCTGAATACAGACTCTTGATTCTGAGCATACGTGACTTTTAACAGATGGACGTTTGTCTGATTCCCTCCCTCCCGTGCCTCCCTCACCACCCTCCCCTCCCTCGCCTCCCTCCCTCGCCTCCCTCGCCTCCCTCCCTCACCTCCCTCGCCTCCCTCCCTCACCTCCCTCGCCTCCCTCGCCTCCCTCACCTCCCTCCCCTGCCTCCCCTGCCTCCCTCACCTCCCTCGCCTCCCTCCCTCGCCTCCCTCGCCTCCCTCACCTCCCTCGCCTCCCTCCCTCGCCTCCCTCGCCTCCCTCGCCTCCCCTCGCCTCCCTCGCCTCCCTCGCCCTCCCTGCCTCGCCTCCCGCCTCCCTCGCCTCCCTCACCTCCCTCACCTCCCTCACCCTCCCCCTCCCCTGCCTCCCTCACCTCCCTCGCCTCCCTCCCTCGCCTCCCTCGCCTCCCCCCTCACCTCCCTCACCTCCCTCACCTCCCTCCCCTGCCTCCCCTGCCTCCCCCGTTTCCCTCGCCTCCCTCCCTCGCCTCCCTCGCCTCCCTCCCTCACCTCCCTCACCTCCCTCACCTCCCTCCCCTGCCTCCCTGCCTCCCTCACCTCCCTCGCCTCCCTCCCTCACCTCCCTCACCTCCCTCGCCTCCCTCGCCTCCCTCCCTCACCTCCCTCACCTCCCTCCCCTGCCTCCCCTGCCTCCCTCACCTCCCTCCCTCTCTCGCCTCCCGCAGCAGGATGGACGACTGCCCCCCCGTGTCGATGAGCCGCCCGCAACCCACGTCCGCGGCCCACGACCCGCCCAGCACGGTCGACACGCTCCAGAAAACGGCACCACGTTCCGTGCTGTAGCAGACTTGTTCAGCCTCCTGACGGTGTAGCTTCCACGCTATAACAGGCGCGTTATGACGTTGCAGCTTCCACGCTATAACAGGCGCGTTATGACGGTGCAGGTTCCACGCTGTAACGGGCAGGTCACCGGCCTTGCCTCGGAATGACGCCATCGCCTTGGCCAACAAGGTTTGTTTTCTTTTCATATTAGAGTGTTGTGTTTTTTCTTCTTGGTACTTTCGGTAAAGTCGCGTAGAAGGGAAGTAATAAAAGAATAAAAGTTCATCTTTTTTATTTTATTATTCCCCTTCTGCGTGACTTTACCGAACCAAGAAGATGAATAAGAATAAAACATTTTTGAAAGGAAATAATAAAACATATTTTTATTATTTCCCTTCTACGCGACTTTACCGAACCAAGAAGATGAATCCCTGCAGTCACGAAAGCTTTAAATCGAAAAGGTTTCCAAATCTGGCATCAGTTTTTGTCTATCACATCAGGTTTTTGAGATGTCAAATATTTGCATTTTCAATAAAAACTGTGGAAGAAAAATATTAAATAAATGTGGATATCTACATAAAATGATATTATAAACACACTATCCTAAAAACAAAGCACCGTATTTTAATACTAAAGCAGTCACTGACTCGCAACAATAAGTGACAGAGTTAACTTCGGGTAAAATCAATGAAAATGGGGTATGCCGATAGCATAATAAGTATAACCCGTAAAAACAACGTTTATCACTATAAATCCTTTTATGCGTGGCGGCTCGAGTCCTCTCGTCCTCTGGCTTGAGATGGCTGCCACCTATGGGTCAGATGATTGTCTGCAGTATTAAACAATTGGTAATTAAATATAATATTTTTGTCCTATAAAGTGTAAAATTTAGGAAAAAATGTTCACGAACATTAATTGTCACGCACAACGAGTCTGTGTGCAAAATGTCAACTTGATTGAATCACGGTAAGTGGGTTAAAAAACGACCGAAAGATTTGCACTGTCGTAAGCAAGCAAGCGAACTTAATATAAAGGATTTATAAATGAGATGTGATGGAGCAAATCTGAGATCAGATTTGCAATCAGCAAATTAGTCTAGAACAGCTGCAAAAGTCCCGGCCAGAAAACAATGTTTGTTTTGTTGTTGACCAGTGTTACTTAACCAAGCCATGGCTGCTTGAGATATATTGCTGCAAATACGTAAATACGGACGATCAAATTGGCCACCCCCAAAGAACAAATTAGAATGTACACCGTAACCCAAGCTATCAAACCATGGGTTGCTGTATCATTTGATATTTCTAGAATTTAGGAGACGCAGATTCCGAATCTCAGGAAGAGTTTATGGTGCATATGCCATTGCTTTGAGGTCCAATTGATATTGTTGGTTTGTTTAAAAATTGTCGATTGACTTTTCCCCCCTTTCAAGACAAATTCTGCACCACGCGATCAGACGGTCAACCCACGCGAAGACAAAATAATGTTGCAGCTGTAAGTAGCAAATACAGACGGTTACGAGCGACGAAAACCACTTCGGTTAACCGTCATAATTCTAAACAGTCGTAATGTTTATTTGTAAAAAAACTAGAAAAAATACAACGAAACTTTTTTTTCGTAAAATAAAACTCTAAACTAGTGGGTCACTAGTGCAACAAGCAGGCCACGTGACCTCGTGCAAATTTAATTTGTGTTTGCACTGTGGGACAAACCAAATACTCACAAGAAATTTCACGTAAATAAAATATTTTACAAAAACAACTATTTGAACAAACCCCCGTGGCCAAAACTTTGACATTATTTCACGTCTCCCAACCAGCACAGACTTGTTTGCACTGTAGCACCCATCCAAATAAACCCTGAAATGCAAAAACATCTTTACAAATTACTTTTTTAAAATCCTTTATATTAAGTTTACTTGCTTGCTTGCTTATGACCGTGCAAATCTTTCGGACGTTTTTTAACCCACTTCCCGTGATCCAATCGAGCTGACATTTTCCACACAGACTCGTGCGTGACAATTAATTTTCGTGAAAATTTTTTTCCAAAATTTTACACTGTTTAGGGAAATTTTTTTAAATATTTACTTACCAATTGCTTAATGCTGGCAGACAATCATCTGACCCATAGGTGGCAGCCATCTCAAGCCAGAGGACGAGAGGACTCTAGCCGCCACGCATATAAAGGATTTAGAGTGGAAAAACTTTGTTTTTACGGGTTAATGTTTTTTCAAACTTTAACGATCACAGCAGAGATTTTCAAAAATGTTCAAGCCATTTTCTCCAATGTTGATAATAGCCAATGTATTCATGCTAAATGCTACACATTATTACTCTTTTGCAAGCAGAACGATACACAACCCAATACAGCTTGTTGTCAACGTACAATTGCATTGGCGATTATTGCTCACGAAGCGCTGTTGAGGACACACGTGTAAATGCGTCGGTTACGTAACATCAGCAGTGATGAATGGAAACGTGATGAATGGAAACGCGATGACGGTGACGACGATGGGAATCTACCGATCGTATCAACGATTACAATCCGGACGGCGAGGATGATGATGATGATGATCATGGATCAATGATCCTCACCGTCCCCGGGGCAAAACCTGGGCTGGACACGGCAGCTGCCGGAGTGTCGGGCAGTCCTGCCCATGGGGGTCAGTGGGGGGGCAACTCTTGTTCACACCGAGGCAAAAGTCACTGACACATCAGAGCCCATCCACCAGCTCATTCCAGGCAGGCAGTGACATCGCATTCTTAGCGAGAGGTCCCCTCGTTGAAGCTCGCTCCGTCGCTCCTTGAATTGAGGCTTGGGGGGGAGCTTGGACGAGTGGCGAGATGAGGGACAAGAGGCCTTAGGGAGTGGTCCACACCATTGTGGCTCCTCCAATAGAAAAACAATGTCCGCTGGTTCAACCGTGACGTGTCAGAGTTCACAACTGTTGACACTTGTACATGTGCCAGAGGTCGCAAGCGGGTTTTGATTCCTTAACAGAAATCAAAGTGTCACCATTGTCAAATACACACTTGACGGTTCTCATCGCAATCGAAGGACCTCGAGGGTGGAAATTACACATTTATTGGCAGGCACCGGTCTCTGCATAGGATGCCTATTCTATTTAGGATGTATAGCAAGGTTGGCTACGTACTGTGCGAAAGAAGTTCAATATACACACGTGAGGATTACAATAATCATAAGAATAACGTGAATAATTTTGTCCGGAATAGCCTCCTTGAGTCTCGAGATATTTGTGTTGAGAATACTGCATTGGGATGCTGCGATGACATTAACAAGTGCCTGGAGAAGCTTCCTGACCCTCACGTTTCACGGTCGTCCCTTCTTCACACTTCACTGTCACTCCCGGCCACGTGGCGAAGTCGTCGTAGTCCTCCTGTTCTTGTTTTATGAGAGATGATGGGCTCATGGCAGCTGAACTTTGACCCTCACGAGTCGATTTCACACTCTCCTTGTGGATCTTCTCATGCATCGTTCGTCTTCCTGACGAAATAAAACCCTTCCCACACTCTGTGCACGTGAAGGGCTTCTCACCCGTGTGTGTTCTCTTGTGAATTTGAAGGTAGTTTGAAGAGGCAAATGCCTTCCAACACACAGTGCACTTGAAGGGCTTCTCACCTGTGTGCGTTCTCTTGTGAACTAGAAGATAGTTTGAACGGGCAAATGCCTTCCCACACACGGTGCACGTGAATGGCTTCTCCCCTGTGTGTGTTCTCTGATGATATTGAAGAGTTTGTAAGAGAGCAAATGCCTTCCCACACACAGTGCACATGAATGGCTTCTCCCCTGTGTGTGTTCTCTGATGATATTGAAGAGTTTGTAAGAGAGCAAATGCCTTCCCACATGCAGTGCACATGAATGGCTTCTCCCCTGTGTGTGTTCTCTGATGAATTTTAAGATTTTGTGAGGAAGAAAATGCCTTCACACACACGGTGCACTTGAATGGCTTTTCGCCCGTGTGAGTTCTCAGGTGCTGATTCATGTTTCCAGTGCGATCCGTGGTGTACGGACACCGCTCGCATTCGTGCCTTTTAGCGCTGGGCTCTGTCCAGGGTTTCTTCTCCATGCGACTGATTCTGCAGACATATTACATGTTACACGCAACGCACACACACACACGACCGAGACAAGGATCCCCCGTGTAGCCTTAATAGACTGTTGGGGCAAGTGCTGTTCGCGAGTAGCAGCACCTATGAAGGCACGCGAGGGTGGGTGGCCAGCGCCACACCTTTGTCTCTTTAGTGGCAATGCTTACAGATCACACCAGCTACTAATTTTAGTCTAAGTCGACCTAGGGGAGGCCCAGGAACGGTTCACATAATCGTCACCAGTGTTGGCCATGTGGTGCGGGAATCGAACGGTCCACGGAGTTGGTGGCAGAGTGCGTCAACCGCTGTGCCACCGATCCCCCACGTGACACTCGCACGCAAGCGGAGACGCAGTGATGCACTCACGCTCTACAGAGGGTACAGCAGACAATCAACAGCAGAGGTCGCAACCGGGTACCCGATACCCGTACCCTACCCAATACCCGGCTACCCGTATCCGGCTGGATACGGG